CAGGTAAAATCACCTTTATTTCTGTAGTTGGTTAGGTGTACTACAACTACCTTTACTCACAAATCGAAACTTCGAACCTCGGATACCTTTGTGAGGAAATACTTTACTCATATTATTTTATAACCAGGAAATTGGGGGAAATGGCAACTGCACCTTTCAAACCCTGAAAATATTTTATCTTCAAAAAGATATTGAAACCGGGCAAGACATTTAAACTTCAGTTATTTCCTCTTGGACACTAAATGAATACCAATTTATTCCATTTGTATATGAAACGTAATACTTTCTTTTTAATTTCTAACAATTCTAACCTAAGAATTAAGCCAATGGACTTAAATCATTCAAATAAATGAAAATTATTCTAAATTCAAAGTTTGTTTAACCAATGCGTACCTTGTTCCTGAAATCTAAATGCGTTGCTGAAACTCCAGATTTAAACCTCAGAAATTAACCTGTGCTAGGTTTCTCTCTGGACACAAATGTCATCACATGTAGATAAAGCATCTTTTATGTCATTTTTTTTAAATTAAGGAGACTAAAAATCCCCTTCAATTTCCTTTTTTAAAACATATAACAAGGTTTGACTCGGAAAAAAAGATTGAAATTTCATCAATTTTGTTTGGGTTTTCATAGTTATGAAACTCAAGAACTGCATGAAATAAAAGTTACTGCTGGTTTTTAATGGCGAAATAACCTTTCTCTTAGAATTAAAAGAATAATGAATATTCAATAAAACAAATATAAATGTTAAATTTCGTAGGTTCAACATTTTATACATTAATTTAATAACAAAGGTTCTGATTTTATACGTTAGATAAAAATTTGCAGTTAAACAAGGATAGTTTCATTCTGACTCTGTTTTAAGGAAAGCAAGAAATGAAACCTCCAAATCGAATTTTAACCTTCTTTCCTTTCGTTTTAAAGAAAAAAAAATTTAAAAGATATTTTTTTAACTTTCTTTGGAGATTAGCCTCCGTCATACAGGATGTACATTAATTTTTGTTTTACACATAACCAGTGTTTGTAAAGGTCGTCTTCGTTCTAGGTTTGTAAAGCAGAATATACGTACGATTCCTTCCTCTTTGTGTCATAAAGCAGTTAGGAGGGACCACAAGCCGATGTCAGAAATAAGAGTTCTTGTAATAAAGATCGTGTCATTCCGTTTACAGTTATTTTATTTGGTTATAAATACTTTACTATGGTTAATTTTATAAATGTGCGTACCATTCAGGACATGTAACTGTATAATATGAAAATTTCCTGTTTAAAACGGAGTAAAAATAATCATTTTTGCTGTTTGTGACAGATATTATTGGGTCGCTGTTTAATAATTATCTTTTGATATATGTTCAGTTTTTTGACAAGCTACCTTTTTTTTCCTTTAATTTTTGCACTTGCACGAGGAAGAGTGAAAAAGCAAGAAAGAGACAGAAAAATTAAAAAGAAAAAACATTTCATGCCTGACTGAAAGTCCCAAAGCTTTTTTCCGCGTAATAATGAGCTTTAATTTCTTATCAAAAATATATATTTTATGATGTTTTGGTCTTTGGTTATCTGATTAAAGATAGATATTTCTATATTTATAGAGTGATTTCTAAGACACACACATATATATTTAATATCTGATTTATCTATAATAAAAAATAAATGTATTTGGATTCATGTTGACAATATTCTTAATAAAGTCTAGCCTCATTAATCTTGATGCTCGTGTTCCTGAGCAAATTGTCCTGATTAATGAAATATCCGAATAACTGAAACAAAGTTGGAATATATAAATATTCTCCACAAATTTCGTCAATAATGTCAAGTGTCCGGTGTCCGAATAAATGAGGCTTCACTGTATTTGGTAGAGCAAAATTTTCCATAAGCGACTTTAGATTTCAACAAATCCAGTACTCTTTTTGTCTTTGTTTTGTGTGTGTGTGTGTGTGTGAGGGTGCGTTTGTAAACACCTTCAACTCAGCTCAGGTACTTATTGACACATCAATCAACTCACTACAGTTTTCCAAGTCACTACAGTAATCACTGTAGTGAGTTGCCGTTTTACGAAAAATGGGTAGTTCTCGATTATTTATGCCCAAAAAATCGAGAAAAAAAGTTGGTGTCATTTGACGGTTTACACCCGTATTTTCACACACCGACTTATGATCAAAAAATGGCCCTTACACACTTTACTCGGTTTTGATTCTAGCGCATGCGCAATGCAGACTAATACTATGGCCGACTTCCGGTATGTAATGATCTCGATTTTTCTACAAAGCAACAAATGATCTCATCAGGTAAGTTAATTTTCTGTTGATTTTACCGTGAATTAAAGCGTTAATTACAAAACATCACATCGTTTCCATATACAAAGATATTAATCAATCACTCGATAAACATAGAGTATTTAGATTTCGTTGTTTATATGCCCTTGAAAAATTTATGTTCAAATCCCTTAGTTATAATCCACAAAATAAAACTTTAAGGTTAAAGAATTATTTAAATATATTTCCATATAACTTTAAATCCACTACATGGCCAAATCCATTTGTTAAGCATAATTTGCAGTCGTCATCGAGTCTAAGTTCGAATTTTCTCGAATTATTCATAATGTTGACATGTTTCTATTTCATGCACTCGTATCAATTAATTATGTTCAACTTATATAAAAAAATATACTTCATGTAATATATCAAACGTATCTGGTTCTTTGTTCTAGTTATGAACTGAACTGGAATTATCTCTATCCTTTATAGTCACATATATTGCCATCAACACATCTTCAGTTCAGAAGTTAAATAAATTATTTTATGAAGTTAGAAATTATTTATCTTATTTATCTTTGTCCAAGACATGCACTTCATTTGTAATTTATTCTTTATTTAAAAAAAACTGCTTCAAATATGTATGATTACAAAAGTATTTAACAGTACGTTCTCACTATATAAGAATCACACTTTTCGATTTTAAATGTTTCTCGACTGATTTTACAGAATTTCAAATGAACAAATTCATTTAAATATTTTCTAATACAATGTCCCTGATGTATGTCACAATGGAACACCTGCACATGTATTGTATAAAAAGAATTTAGAAAGATTAGATATCTTTATAATGGAGGTACGTGTATGATAAACTGTTTTGATCGGAAGGGGAAATGCATTTTTAAAATACTACGGCTAATGTAGACAAGACCAGAGTTCTCTTTCATCCAAAAATAAAGTATGCTCAGTTCTTCTTGTATGTGTCCTTAAAGCTGGTAAACTAATCAAAATATGAAAATCTGCAAGTTTTTGTACATGTATTCAGATTGGAAACTTTAATCATTAGTTGCTTACCTGTCCGTGTAAGAGAAATAATTACAGTCTCTAGACTTGATGAGGTGTGATTACGGTAATTGTAAAATGTGGTTTCCAAGACTTTACCTTATTTATTCATTAGAGTTAGTGATTCATGTTCACTGTTGTTTCCTCAGAAGGAGATGATCCAGGAATTCTTCCGGGGGGGGGGGGGTCCATGCCCCCCCCCCCCAAAAAAAAATCCAACTGAGAAATTTACCCAAAACTTAAAAAATAAATAGATAAATTTTAAAAAACGCAAACTTGTCCATCCCCCCCCGAGAAAAACTACAATTTGAAAACTCAAAAATAAAAATAATAAATATGAGTGGACTGGACTGGATCGGTGCATGAATTGCTAAACATTGTCCATCGTATATATAAAGAACTGCATAAATTTTACACTTAGTCTAATCAGGGACTATATATAGAAATATCTATTTGAACATTGTTAATGCCTCCCCCCTCCCCCCTCTCCATTTACCATGTTTATTTCTAGTAAAAAAAATTGTCTGATTAACCTATTCTACTCAAATTTACTCAAGTAATAAACATTTTTTTTCTGTGTAAAATTTCATTCCGAGTCATCACCGGAACGAATTACTACTTAATCGTAACTGTTGTGGCGTGATGCTTGATTGTGAACCTAATAACATAGAAATACTTATTGGATTATACCTTTGATGTCATTCTGTGATTTATTTTAGTATGTTAATACCCCTCATGGTAAGTATAGAGTAAGAAACGTTATATAAAGGTGTAAATGACAAGTTCAAAATAATTACATGATAAACAAATCAGAGGTCATTCGAGTCACGTATAAAATTATTAAGTCATGCATGTGATATCAGTCAAGTGCAGATATTTCACAAAGGTTTGGTTGTGCATATATTTTAAACCTTTCACTGTGGTGTTTGTGAGCGTGATACGTGATACAGCTGTGATACCAACACGTAAAAGAAGATAGGCTAAGTGAGACTCTTGTAAATTCACATACACACACAAAAGATGTAAAGGTTGCTCCACACCTCTTCAAATTAAGGCTTTGCCACACTACAGCATGTACAAAGCTTAAAAAACTTGCATCGACGTACAGAAAGATTAACATACTCGCTGGCATATGCTGAAGGCTTGTGCCATGCACCATAATCAGGATAATTGCACTGAAGTAAAAAAAATTTAAAATGGTCATTAAATCAACCATATTAGCACCAAAGTGTGCATTCAATTTTCCCTTGGCTCTGTTCATTGGAAAGATTTCGACATTATATCTTTTAAAGGAAAGGTTTGTTTTGTTTGTATGTTGTTTAACGTCCCTCTCGAGAATTTTTCACTCATATGGAGACGCCACCACTTGCCGGTGGAGAGCTGCAAATTTTGTCCTATACTCGGCATTTATGGCCATTGAGCAGTGAGGGATCTTTTTTGTGCCAGCACCTACTGCGACATGGGATCTCGGTTTATACGGTCTCATCCGAAGGACCGGTCTCCACGTCCCACAGTGGGATTCGAACCCGCGACGTAAGAATCAACTCCTTACTCCGCGACTCTAGAGCAGACGCTCTAACCACTGCGCCACACGGGCGACTTTAAAGGAAAGGAATTGTATAGTTTGATATGTGCACACCCTAGATTTTGGAAATGTTAATGCTCTACTTTTATTGTTTTAATTACTTTCATTTTCAGATGTTTATTTTTTGCGAATGTGTGCATTTGGCCGGAAAACAATCTGACATTCCACCTTGAGATGTTATTTGAGAGTTGTTCCGTCCTTAAATGTAAAGCAAGGATTTAAAACAGTGTGAGAAAAGGTTAACATTGTCGCCTATGGGAAATGTATTGGTGGACTGTATACCCCATATATATTGAGTACGTCTATTGGTAAGCATGCTAAGAGAAATTCTACTTGTTAAAAAAATTGTACTTTCAGGCTGAGTTGAAGTTTGTAATTTAATAATATTATCATTTCCAATTGTTGAAATCTATGAAATACACAACTTTTATTTTGCTTAATGTGCATATTTTAAAACAAATCGAGTCGCAATATAGTGTCCTTCCAAAATTTTGAGGTGAAATAGACATAGTGTATATAGACACAGTTAAGGCACGGAACCCATATATGAAATTTAGAAAAGATGTACGGGCTCCACAGACCCAAGATATGACCAAGAATCTGAGGTTGAAAGCAAGGTGTTCTTGTGCACAGAAACCAATGTGTAGGCAAGGAATACTTGTCCCAAGAAGATATTTTCTAACTTACAAAATTTGAATGAGGCAGATTTGGTTCAAACTATATACATGTATTTTTAATCTCACGGCTTTTTACATAGCATGATCATAACTTCCTTTGTGCAAATCAGATTAGAAGGATTCATGATCCTGAGCTAATATAGCTTGTGTCTTTCTTAATTTATAAAAGATACATAACTAATATACATGTATATCACTTGGAATTGTACTTAGGTCAACTTGAATGATTTTGTCACTTTTGAACTAAAAGTCTAAGTAAGTAAGTCTAATATAGAAGCCATTTGAAATCTTTATCCTTGGATGTTTCAATGCAAGCTGACAGACATTGAAATAGTCTTTGTTGATCAATGATGATTTAACCTAAGTTAACAATCTCATTTCATTTTGTGTCATCACATGATAAAGAAAGTTATGATTTTATTAAATTCAATTTGAACAAACTTAGGCTGAAAAAAACAACAACATGTATTTCCCATAACCCAGCTGACCTAATTTTACCCACCGACTCTACTACTTTTTATTCCAAATCGAGATTTTGAATCATACTTTTGTTCATAGTAAAGTTTTCTCGTAGTGCAGTCCATAAAATGCATGTCTCGTACACTGTAAAAACCTGTTTATCCAAGAGTCTTAAAGAGTACTCCTACTTTATATATATATATATATATATATATATATATATATATATATATATATATATATATATATATATATATATATATATATGTATATGTTTGTTTGTTTATTCATATACATGTATGTTTATGTACATGTATATGATAGAAAAACAATGTACAGAATAATTAATTGATGCTTTCAAAATAAAAAGTGTTGCTTGTGTGACGCAGTGGTTAGAGTGTTTGCTCTAAAGTCGCGAAGTAAGGAGTTGATCCTTAGATTGCAGGTTCGAATCCCACTGTGGGACGTGAAGACCGGTCCTTCGGATGAGACCATATAAACAGAGGTCCTATGTCGCAGTAGGTGCTGGCATGAAAAAGATCCCTCACTGAGAGCGGAGTATAGGTCTATTAATTTGCAGCCCTCCACCGACAAGTAGTGGCATCTCCATATGAGTGAAAATTTCTCGAAAGGGAATTAAACAACAAACAATCAAGTAAACAAAATTAACAGTAAAGTAAAAAAAAAAGTTATTCCCTTCTTACCTAGCCTAATTTTTTTTAGCATATGTCACCAGAAACACATAATTTTTTTCATTTGGCCTAATTAAGTTAAATTACTATAGAATTGTGCATTGAATCATTTGATTCTTAATAAGAAACTACTATAAATTGTTAAAATGATAGTGTAGATAAGTTCTATAAAAATGAATGTGGCACTCTCATACATGTATTAATTTCAAACTTTAAAAATTCTAAAACTAATCAAATTAATAATGTAAAGCATTGTAAAGTTTGTATTCAGTCTCTATTTGGCATCTACAGCAACATCAGGGGATTCTCCAAGATCCTAACCCAGATCTAGATGAATTAATTAAGGCACATGCAGATCTCATGACTCCATATTTGGTTATTTTTTGACATGGTCGGTTTCCCAAATCAGGGTCTCCAGATATGGAAAATGGCACAGGTTTCTGGTACAGGTTTTTCAGAATCCATGAGTTCATGTAGGGAACCTAGCACAACTTTCTGTGAAGGGTTTATTTGTAAAACTGTGTTATGTTATATTTCAGTCATTATCCCATGCCTGTTCTTGCCTTGACCACTTTTTCGCATGGCTTTCTATACATATTTTACATATATAGGAGGAGAAATGCTAGTCTGTTACAGGTTTATGGAAGCTAAATTTGTGCCTGTGTTTAAACCACCCAGACAGTTTCATATGGGAGTAACCCCCCCCCCCCCCCCTTATGAACATACAGCTAATTCTCATACCTCCTGTTGTTTACAGTTACATGTATGTAGCGAATAAATTCAATTAATGTGTCAATTTATATTGTTTATTAATTCAAAGCTAAGTTGAGTATATTTTTACATAAGGATTCAATATGTACACAAAAATTCACAAACGAGGTCGGAATCGGTATTCAGTCAAGTTCAAAGTGAAAGTAGTGTACTCAATGTACAGGCCGGCAGGGTCTTGCAGTATGTACAGTCCCTGAAACGTTCTACTTTCCCATTTTTCCGTTCGCTCACCGTTCGTTCAGCGTGCGTTCACCGTTCGTTCAGCGTGCGTTCACCGTTCGCTCTCCGTTCACATTTTTGCGTTCTGCGTTCACCGTGCGTTCGCGTTCACCGTTCACAAAGCGTTCACCGTTCGCTCTCCGTTCGTTCACTTTGCGTTCACCTTGCGTTCAGCGTTCACTTATCGTTCAGTCTTCACTGCCCTTCGGAACTCCGAAGTGAAAGGACTTATCTTTTTTGTAAGTAAAGTTTTACGGGATTTGAAATTTAATAATTCACATATCGTGTTTAAAGGATCATTATTTTATTGGAATAAATTATCTACAATATGTTTTATTATTATTCTAACTTAGCTGTTAGGTTATTATTCAAATTACTCTGGAAAATAAATGTTGTTATATGTATGTACCTATGTAGAACGATGCTGAAAAATTAAATTTAAATACGGGCAATATAGGGGTACTTCAAGCACTGCAACATTTTGCTTTTATGTTAAAGAGAGATAATAATCCATGTTAATTTATTTAGCAACTGCAGGAAAATTAGAAAGTTTTTATTACTAACACGTTTTTTTTTATTATTATAGAAATACATTTTTATAACTAGTTCTGAGAATTATAAACAGTACTGCGGATATGCAGTTAATTAAATATCTTTGGAGCGAATTAAATTGATAGTGTGGTTAAAAAATATTCATTGAAATGTAATATACTACAATTTAGATATAGATATATAAATTCTACTGTTAGAGAGAAAAATTCCTTTCTTCACAGTAACTTTATAATATGTTTGCCATTCAATATGATTAAGACCCCCCCCCCCTCCCCTTTTCAACGTAGATCGGTCAATTAGTCAGTATTTCCAGTATATTTTAATTCAATATTTAAAAAGAAGTAAACGCATTTTGTAGCACAAAAATTTCAGTGTCAAAACAAACATGCATCTTAAAAGTCATTAAACAATAGTAGTTCAAAATATAGACGCGCCGACGATGGTATTTTAAAATGACCAGGGAGTATGTTTCAAATTCATTCGCTCGCTCCGTGATCGGGAGGTCGTGAGTTCGGATCTCGGCCGCGACAGACCCAAGTCGATAAAAAATGGGTAGCAACTGTTCCTTCGCCATGCGCTCGGCACTTTGAAGTGAAAGTTGCGGGTCCTTCGGATGAGACCTTAAAAACCGAGGCCTCGTGTCACGGCAGGCGTTGGCACGATAAAGATCCCTCACTGCTCAATGGCCCTGAGTGCCGAGTAAAGGTCAAAATTTGAAGCCCTTCACCGGTATATGGTGACGTCTCTATATGAGTGAAAAATTCTCGAATGGGACGTAAAACAACATACAATCAATCAATCAAATTCATTCGAAGTGTTTATGCCCAATGTATTTTATTTATTTATTTATCGGAAAAATTGGAATCAGATCTAGAAAAGATAAAACATGTAAAACTTCTTGGAAATACTACAGTGTAGCACTTCGCCTTTGGTGTGTCGAAACTTTCACACCTGCACATGTACAGTGTCGAATGATTTTGATTGACAGGACAAGCACGTGGACTTCGTGTGAACTTGAATCAGGAAAATAAAAACCGATTATGACTGTCAAACAAAGTGAATTTGTTGATAAATAAAAAAGGTTACTTTCACTGCCTGATATATTTAGATACAAATGAAGAATTTTTGTTTATACAGGTACAAGAACGTGCATTTGTGGAAAGGGGGGGGGGGCTAAAACGTAATCTCTCTCTCTTTTGTCCGTTTAATCAAAACTATGACACGTATTACTTAAATACCAAGTTCTGAAATTTTAATCTATAACAAATAATATGAATGCTTCTTTGTATCACCTTGTCCGAGTATAATCACGGGGAATTATTGTTTATAGATACATGTAGAAGTCTGCTGAATAAATCATCATTAAAAAAATGAAAAGACACATAGATATATTATTGCATTAAATTTTTAAAATAGGAGTGTATACATGCAATACGTCCACAGACTAGCAAAATATTTTTTTTCTCATCATTTTACAATGAATTGCCTTGACACGGAAATACATGTATGGTTGTTACAACCGTTGTAATTCATTCTATAAGTCAGTAATGAACTCTTCGAAAATCATTATTTGTAATGGTTTTATATGTCAAATAAGAACAAGAAAACATTGATGTAACCATCAATTGTCGCCCGGGAAATAAATAAAGTAAACAATGGAAATGAGTCTTGATCATCAAACCGCTTCGATATGTGTAAAAAAGGCATGCGTCTAAATGATGGAGACGATAGTCGAGAATATTTTGAAAACTTATAGTCGGATGAAAATCGAACAAAAACGATACCCTTTTAAACTTTATCAATTCCTCAAGTAAATGTTGGCTGCATAAAATATAAATTGAAACCAGACACATGCATCACCTATTTTCAAAAATGTCTTTCACTTTAAGAGTATAAAACACGAACTGTGTAAAATACGTTTTTACGTTTATATGCGATAAGTAAAATTCGATGTTTTAAAAAAAAGGGACCTGTCGTTTTTTCGATAGTAAATGATAAGCAACTTTATATAATAAATATGAAAAACATATATATTTTTACAGATTCACTTTATGGAAGTAAATATATTGTGTATCTCGTAATTTATATAGGGAAAGAACATTCTGATTAACAATCTTTTTAATGTTTAGAAAACCTTTAATTCTGAATAACTTCTCCCACCTCAATCCCCATATACCAACACTTAAACTTATATGTATAGAGCAGCCCGGTCCTCCGGGCTGCAATAAACATATCTATTTTACAACTAGAATAATTTCATCTTTTAAACTACAGCGTTCGGTAACAATGACAATGTTTTAAAGCGATAACAATCGTGTGATTAAACAGTTGAATTTAAACATCATACATATGTGCAGAAAATATTGTAAGAAACTTAATTAATAGTTTTACTAAATGTGCATGTTTCATCTTTCTTAGGACAATTTTTGAATATTTATTTATTTTCCGCCTGACATTAGAATACAATAGAATAGATACAATGCACGGAAAAGATCAGAGGCATTCCGAATAAATCGTTCATCTTGCGTTCACCGTTCACTTTGCGCTCGCGTTCGCGCTCCGTTCGCGTTCTGCGTTCGCTCACCGTTCAGCGTTCACCTACCGTTCACCAAGTTGCGTTCAGCGTTCACACATCGTTCACTCACCGTTCGCTCACCGTTCGCTCTCCGTTCGTTCACCGTTCGCTCACCGTTCAAGTGGGAAAGTAGAACGTTTCAGGGACTGTAAGTGACATGCATGTGTCATTTTATGAAGGGGTATAAATGAAAACTATTATCATGGAACAGGATTACATGAATGAGGACATGTACATTCTTTGGAAGCAGTCAGTCAACTTATTCAAGTGTGTGTGAACATGCACACTAACATTTTTCATATTTTATTGATAGCATGATCGATACATGTATTAATTTTGTCTAATGTATTATTTGTCAGCATGGTCAGTAAAACATGCTTTTTAACTGTATTATTTATTTAACTAAACAATGTTGGGACTTAAATCAGTGCAAGATGAAGCAAATTCACAATTTATGATTATTTTCAAATAATGAACATAAATGGAACGTGGAATGTTTGTATGTGTTTAATGTCTGTCTGTGAATGTTTTAGGATGGATGTTTTGTGATACTGAAGTATAACATCGATTTTTTTAGGTTCATGGTGATACAGGAAAACTTCAAGGTTCCTGCAGATGGTGTTTAAAACTATTGGCCAGTGAACACAAACCCATTTAATTATATTTTGAACCTTCACCAGGAGAAAAAAGATGGCAGTACTTCTAATGCGTAAGTAGAATTGTTTTAAAAAGCTTCTTTTTTTTGTTTTGGGGTGGGATGAATGATTAAACAAATACATCATGTACATAAGCGTTGAAATCCCTTTAATACAGGGTGTTTCAACAAACATGTCCTTCTTTTACTACTTCACATGAGTCCGTCAAAAAAGGAAAGATCAGTGTTTTGTAACGATTTATCTAAAAATAAACATTACAATGCAGTCTTTGCCAAATCTTTTTTTCAGTACATGCCCTTCGGGCAGGTTTAACCACTTATTACGCTAGCCCGAACAAATATTCACATGCCCAGAATTTTATCAAGTAATTTTATTCTTATTTGCCTTTTCATGGCAAGGAAATGATCCGAAATCCATTTCTATCGATCTATTGTCTAGCCATTAATATTGTTTTCAACCTGTACACTTTTTGTGTTTCTTTTGCAAAAGAGTTCCCTGGAAATCGTGGTAGAATAAACTATCGTTAAAATTTTATTTGGTGCTCCACTTCAGATGAAAAATCAGACTTTTAAGTACATTTAATGTTATTGGTATTACTTAATTTGATAATACGGAGGCTTAGGCCTCAGAATTCACATGCCCTTTGGGCTTGTAAGTATGCAATTTCCACATGCCCCCTTCCAATTTTACCAGGTCCCGGGCTTTGGACTCCCGGGATTTGTCGAAGACTGATTACAATGTACTTTTTATAGTTTTTTGAAAGTACATGAAGTGTTTTATTCCAAAGATTTTTAGCTCACCTGAGCCAAAGGCTCAAGTGAGCTTTTCTGATCAGAATTTGTCCGTTGTCTGTCGTTGTTGTTGTCATTGTCGTTGTTGTTGTAAACTTTTCACATTTTCATCTTCTTCTCAAGAACCACTGGGCCAATTTCAACCAAACTTGGCACAAAGTATCCTTGGGTAAAGGGGATTCAAGTTTGTTCAAATGAAGGGCCACGCCTTCTTCCAAGGGGAGATAATTAAGAATTTGTGAAAAATTAATGGCATCATTAAAAAATCTTCTTCTCAAGAACCACTGTGCTCGAAAATATGAAACTTATGTGGAAGCATCCTCAGGTAGTGTAGATTCAAGTTTATTCAAATCATGACCCCCGGGGGTCGGGTGGGGCCACAATGGGCGATCAAAGTTTTTCATAGGAATATATAGGAAAAATCTTTAAAAAATCTTCTTCTCAAGAACAGCAAAGCCATGATTGGTCATATTTACATGGAAGCATCCTCAGGTAGTGTAGATTCAAGTTTGTTCAAATCATGACCCCTGGGGGTCGGGTGAGGCCACAATTGGCGATCAAAGTTTTACATTGGAATATAGGAAAAATCTTTAAAAATCTTCTACTCAAGAACAGCAAAGCCATGATTGGTCATATTTACATGGAAGCATCCTCAGGTAGTGTAGATTCAAGTTTGTTCAAATCATGACCCCCGGGGGTCGGGTGGGGCCACAATGGGCGATCAAAGTTTTACATAGGAATACATAGGTTAAATCTTTAAAAATCTTCTACTCAAGAACAGCAAAGTCATGTTTGGTCATATTTAAATGGAAGCATCCTCAGATAATGTAGATTCAAATTTGTTCAATTCATGACCCCCCCCCCCCCCCGAACCACTTTTTTATTTAAACTTTTCAACCTTTCAAGACTGAACTGAATTCTGCTTTTTCCTAGCCATAGTGCTCAGGTGAGCGATGTGGCCTCTGGGCCTCTTGTTTAAAATCTCGTGATCATGCAGGAAGTATGAACATATTCCTGATCTCGTTCATTATACTCAAAACGTTTGACATCTTTATGTATCATACCCTGTACAAAATGTTCCACCTGGAAAAAGGCATAATCAAGACAGAATTCTCAGTAAAATTCCAGGCGTAAAACTTACTATAAATGTTAAAGCAATATAAGCAGAAACCAAGCGTTAACCAAGCGGAGACTAGCTGGAAATTTGAGGCGAAAATGTAATTAGTTCCGCCTGGAAATTGACATTCTGCCTGCATGGAATTGAAATTCCACCTAGAATTGAAATAACAGGATTCCGCCTGAATATAGATTCCATTTAAACTGTCCAAAATATTTCTTTTTATAATTTCCAGCTATTTTCCCACTGAACTAAATTCAGCCTAAAATTTGATGACTGGAATCTGTTAAATTTAGGCAGAATCTCTGAGAGCCTGGAATTTGTGGATTCGGTGGAATACCCTTGGTGTCCAACGAAATTCTGGGCGGAATCCACCTTAATTGTTTGTACAGGACTAAATCATAATCACTAAAATGTTTAATTTCACATCAGTCAGTCGTAAAATTAAGTGCCAACTTGACTCAGAATTACCTTACTACCTGCTAAGATGCTAGAAAGCTAAAAATACATGCAGGGTTTTCTAGTAAATGTTGTTGAAAATCGTAATTTATTCATTTTGTTTTCCAGAAATTTTTATTGGTCTGTTGGGACTTACTAGCGACAGATTTTATTAGTCCAAATGAAAATGTATTAGTCTGATCAGACTAACGGACTAACATTAGTGTTGAACCCTGACATTAAAATATCTCAGGCATATATTTAGTCAGGCCATGCTTACACTGTATAAAACATGATGCTGGAAAGTTGAATTGAAAATTTAAGTCTCCTTTATCAGTCTCTAACAAAAAATTTTAACTAAATCAGTAGAATTAATTTAAAATTCATAGTCTTTCCGAAATGTTTAGACTTTATATTTTGCAATAATTACTTAAGTGTTCATTATTGATATCCCTTATCTTAATTCCTGAAACTGACAAATCACAGTAGCCTAGACGGTAGTTGTTGTCGGTACTCGCATTATAATTAATAGGTCCCTGTTCAATTCTTGTTCCTAGCACCTTGTCAATCCAAGATGTTTGAAATAGGTAATGAGATTGTTCGGTTACTAAGCTGTGACTCTATAAGTGAAAGATGCATGTGTTTTAAATGAAACCTTAAAAATCAAGGTCTCATTTCATGGTAGGCAAAATAAAAAAAAAACCCTCCAGTGTTAAGCTACTAGTATACATTGTAGTGAAACCAAATATCGAAATTTTATGATATGGTGTCATATGTTTTTTTTTTTTTTTCAACCACAAATTAAATCCCCTCAAATCATGAAAATTTAAACCAGTGAAAATAACCAATTTTGCATTAATTGAGAAACTTGCATGTATTTGAAAGCTTCCTGAAATACCAGTAGTGTAGATTCAAGTTTGTTCAATTCATGGACCCTAGGGGTAGGGTAGGGCCACAGAAGAGGATCAAAGTTTACATGGAATGACAGAAACATGATTTAAATTAGTCATATTTATTGTATCCATGTTCTTACCAAATTTCTGTTGCACTTTTCTCAGCAACTACTCATCGAAGGTGCTTAATATTTTAGCACGCTCTCTGTTTAGGCATGCCATATGGTAGGATGTATTTTTGTAGGAATCCCATGTTAACTTCCTGTTCATCCCTCCATCTGTCCGTACTAAATTTCCATCACAGTTTTCTCAACAACTGTTAAGGATGATGCTTGAAAGTTTAGCACACTTTTAAATTGTTTAGGCATGCCATATGGTGGGATTCATTTTTGTATGAATTTGACGTCAACTTCCTGTTTACCCCTGTGCTTGTCCGTACCAAATTCAAATCAGTGTGGGAATTATAATTACTAGTGAGCATTGGCTCGATCACAGACTTCTTGTTTTCTATTTGATAGGAATGTCTTTTACTTTAATTACACTGTAGCTAAAATACTTATTTAGTTCTTCACAAATATTCTAAGAATGTTCTTTTTTTTATAATATGTGTAACCATTACTGTTTCTTGAGTCAAGATTTTTTTAATTTATTTTATTGGTATTTATTTCTACTAGAAGCAGCTACTAGGGAAGATTTAATGAAGGAAGATGAGGAAGTGGAGAAAAAGCTGAAGAACAAGGAGGACAAGGTGAAAAAAGGACAAGGTTATTACATTATGTATCTCACAGTAATTTTACAAAGCCCTCTCAAATCCTGATTTATATAGTTTTTTTGTAAAACTTAAGAATGAATTCTTATTTAGTTCTTGATCCTTAAATATAAATGAAGAAGGTAACAATTTTTACAGGGCACAGTGACTTGCAGTGTGTGTCATGTAACATTATTACAACATCTATATCATGGGTCCATAATTTTAAGTAAGTCATTCATCAACCACTTTATCTGTACTGGAAACCATTTCTGAGAGGGATGAAGTGATGGAAGATAATGAGCCAGAGGGTGGAACGGAAGAGAAAGGGAAAGAAATAAAGAAAAAGGCAGAATGAAAAAGGACTAGGTAATTATTATCACAATACCCCCCCCCCTTCCCCATCAATGTATTTCTTCAAGTCAACAAAATTACCATGTACTTATCTTATTCTTTCATAAATATTTTGAGAAAAAATATCAAAACATCAACTTTGACTGGATGTAGTGACTTGCATGTGTGTAATTAGCTATGGTCGATACAATGACCTTGTCAGCAAAAACAATCTTTCATTACATGTAAGTCGAATGCGGACTGATGTTTTTAATACTAATTGTTTGGCCATTATTTACACATTGAATTGTCTGTTTACACATTGAATTGTCTACAGACTTTTCCGTTTTCCCGATCATGACAAGGAGCACACATCAAATGTGAATGATTGGCAGAGGATGTTTACTCCTATATTGCACCTGATCCCACCTCTGATGTTTTTAGTGGTCCGTGTTTGCTCCTGATTTGTATTTTTTCTATGGACTCTTGAGCTTCGTTATCTCCATAATTATATGATTGTACAGTGAAAACTGTCTAATCTGACACCTGTGCAATCCGTCACACTGAAATTCCAAGGTTAAATTTCATTCCCATTTTACTTTTTTCTATGTTTTTTTACACTGATCAATACGACACCCTATCTATTCCGACAAAAAATTTGTCTCCCAGTGCAGGTCGGATTACACAGGTTTCACTGTATGATTTAGTGGTATTTGAGTACTCTTTACTGGAACCCAGGAACATCTTTATTTTTTTTTACTTTGTGTCATCTAGTTTAAGATAATGAGATTGGACTGTATATAGGTAATTCATCATGAAAAATGTTACATGTTACATGACTATGCCCTGACTTTACCTTAGGCTGAAAATGTCGATCAAGACACATTTCTAGTCTTTGCAAGTACTTGTAAATCTGTTCAGTCATGTTTTTTTTTTCTTTTGTGTGAATCAAGCTGCACACTTTGAAACTTTGAATCATAACCTTGTTAATTGATGCCTGTTATAGGGGAAACGTTATTTCTTGACCAGGCTTTAATAGCAGCAAGAAATATAGGTGAATTTGAGGTCATGGAAATATTTTAGGTAATAACAAAAGTATGTATTTCACATTCTAGTACCAAAACGTTTCTGTCGAAGTCAAGCAGGTACATGAAAATGAATAAGTTACTAACCACTCTTTTCTCAGATAAATCACTAAAAAGGTTCAGTATGCCAAGATTTTTCATGAATCTGGTAAAATCCGAAACTTGACAAATTGAGTTTTTGTCAGTTTAGTAGTTTATCGAATTGGATTTTTTTTTTTACAGAACTTGCAATAGAAGAAAAAGTTGAGGAAATGAAGAGGAAGAAATTGAAGATGAAAAGAAGAGCTCTGGGAGGAAAAAAGTGAGCATAGTGCAGTTATTTCTATCATTTTACATTTTATTGCTGCATTATCAGATGCCGTCTGAATCATAAACCTTATCTACTGATAAAGATGATGGGCAAACAAGGCAAGTAAATGCCTATTGTGTGACAAAAAAAGATGTAAAACGTTAAATCTTAATCATGTCAAAATTTTCTTTGATACTTCATGTAACATTATTGTATACCTTATGTAAAATCTTTGCAATTTGCTACAATCTTATAACGATTAATATTATTGATCTATGAAATAGCAGATACACACCAAAAGAGGGCAAAAATGGTCATTTTTTCCTCCTATATCATACTTTTTAAATATGAGTAGGTCTTCACTCCATATTTTGGTAAGATTATACTCGAAGCATATTTAAAACTTTTCCTATTTCGTTTGACAAAAACATGGTGAAATGACCAACTCTTCTAAAAATAGACTTTTATGTCACAACTAGTGATGGGAATTGGTAAGAATTTCATAATCGATGATCAGGCTACTGTAACTAACTAATTATCAATTATAATCGGACATTTACAAAGTCTGTCAATTTTAGTTTATTAAATGGTAAGAATGGTTTCTGTGGTGGTCCAGCTGTAGTTGGAATAACTGTGTCTCGGAACAACCCCTAGTCCTTAGGACAATATCATTTTAACGACAGAATGTTCTATCTAGTCAAGCTGGTTCTACGCTCATTTTGTAGAATCCAAAGTACGTCCATACCCAGGAATGAGCATTGTTACCTGGGTATGAATACAATGTCTCTTTGTCTGTGCCATTACGATATGCATATAAGTTAATAGAAAAGTTGCGGCTGGAATATTTGGCTTAAAAACTATTACGCTTTTAAAATAAAATAAATAACCCGATTAATCAGAATAAAAAATTTGTAATCGAGTGCTTGGATTATGCCAGCAATTGACTGATTTTCGATTATAATCGATGATTGGAACACCACTAGTCACAACAACATTCATATCATGGTTTGACATTAACTTTTATGAGTACTAGATCAGTCGTGCTACTTCCCATAATTTTTACTAGCTCTGACCATAAATTCACTAGCCCTGACCAAACTTGAAAATTTTCTATTTATAACCTCCTATTATAATGGGAAAAAAGTTTTGAAACCATACTACAGTGTATCTCTCGCATGTGTTCATGTATACATTTTGACAGACTGTTGAGCCCATAGGTAGCAGCCCAATGAGTGAACATGCGAATGTTATAAGCTTTAAAGAACATTAATTCAAGGAACTTAAATAAAATTATTACCGTAAATATACATGTAAATAAATTAAAAACTGTAATATTCAATGAATATTTATACCAAATGATACTGAACAAAGCTGAGGTTTCGATTGTGACTTGTCTATTACAGCCGGTCTAAAAAAAAAAGCAATTGTGTCATGCAGGAAAGTTTTCTTTTTCAGAGCAATGGCTGTGTTTGCAATCTGAAAATTAAGAAAATTTCTTTAAAAAGTTTTTAGTCAGAGCATTTATTTGAAAGACTGAAATGAGAGTTAACATTTATTTCATCCACACAACCAGTCGGGCAAGTTATTGAACATTTAACATGACGGACCATGCATTTACTAGACTGGGTCAGTCGGACGTGCCTTAGTGTCAAACCCTGCATATCTTTCAGAAATATATTTGAAATCCATTTAGTCAAGAGCCACATTTTTAAACGTGATTTACATATGTAAATGCCCATTTTTGTCATGAGCTACATGTATGTAGTTTAGTGGTTAGCATGTTAGTCTCTTAGAAAAAAAACTGATATTCAGGATTTAATTTCATTGCTTGGTTTTCAACCCCTAGAATACCATTTTTTTTTTTTTATCATAGAATGATTTTTGCTTAAAGAATTTTCCACAGAAAAGTTTTGTTTGTAATATAATGTTATACCTTTCAATAAGAAGAACTTTACTCTAAATACTAAACTCAGTATTTGAATATGACTTTTATACATTTGAAGCTATAGGCTTTTTGCATGCCTTGTTCACCCATCTCCTTATGCACATTATGAAACATGTAAAACTAATTATTACATATTACTGTTACTTGGTAGACTTTTAGTGTAATTAAAATTAGGTCTTTCATTTTACTCCATTTATTAATATATGTTACTAATGAGAGACAGATAAATATACAGGAAAAGCTAAATGAATCTAAATTGTGTAGCTTGTTGAATGTTTTCATTTATAATATTCTTATAAGTGACTTGCTTGGATACATGTTTTCATTTTGAAAAAATCCTTATTTGTCTAGATGCATGTATTCTGTTGTGAGTACTTATATAGTCCTAACTATAAAGATTCCAACCTTTTGATATGTAAATTATAGAACAAGATGAGATTAAAGTTTGGCACTTTAAACTGAAAAGCTTGATAGGAAACCAAAGGCAAGGACAAAAGAAAAGGATAACCCAAAATTTCAGAAAGTGTTTGTTAAGTTGTGAATATACTTTTCGCTGTGTATTCTTTTTAGTGCCTTTGTCGGAAAGCAATGTCCACTGATTCAAGTACAACGCTAAATGTCTTGCACAAATACACATAAAGAAGAACATTAACAAATGCTTTAAATCAAATCTCCGCTAACTTGCTCAATAATCAACTTCTGCCAAATATTGTACACGCTAAATATTATACATTTACAGTAATTCAAAAGGCTAACAAGTTCTAAAGGATAATCATTTAATACAAATCAAATACACAAAATGTTAACTAGCTGTTTTAGGAATTTTAATTTTAAAATTTATTCTTGTCCTTTTGCTTTTAAAGAAGTGTTGTGTCTTAATTAAGATTGGAAACTTGATCACTGATATATTTTTATTTCATTTTTATGTAAAAGCTTTAATGGTTCTATTATATAATTATGTATTTCAGTTCCATTTGTAAGATGTGTGGACAAAAGAAAAACAGCCATAGAGTGCCGATGTGGAGTGGAATAAGTCAGTATGACTTAAACATGGTCAATTGAAGTGTTTGAATGCCCCTCCAGAAAGCAGAACAATCTTTGAATTTGCAGGAAAGAGTATAAAATTTGCTGTTAAAATATCATAACAGCTAGACAAAGATTAAATAACAACTACATGTACATCTAAAGAATTCTTTTGTCATAATAGTGATTCATGTGCTAGTACATGTGACAAGTGCTATAACGACCTAATATAAGTGTGTTTTAGGAGCATGTTGACTCTATTGTAAATGTATTGACTCCTTATATGACCTCATTTATATATAACATTATATGAATGGTAGTGTAGTGACTTGAAATGTGTGTTAGTAGTATAGCTCGTTATGTGTGGTAATTTTGTTATTTGTTTTACATGTATGATAGTACATATAGTATGGTGACTCATGTGTTGGGAATTAATGTATAATTTTATGTGTGTTACTGGTATAACTCATAATGTGTGTAAATATTGTTTTTTGTAATATATATTAGTAGTGTAGTGACTCGACATGTGTGTAAGTAGTGTAGTGACTCGACATGTGTGTTATGAGTGTAGCTTATGATGTGTGGTTATTTTGTGTACGTATGTAGTATGGTGACTCATGTGTTAGGAATGTATAATTTTATGTATGTTACTGATATGCCTCATCGAGTGATTTAAAATGGTTATTTGTAATGTATATATTAGTAGTAAAGTGACTCGACATGTGTGTTAGTAGTGTAGTGACTCGACATGTGTGTTAGTAGTGTAGCTTATTATGTGTGGTAATTTTGTTATTTGTTATGTGAGTTGTACATGTAGTATGGTGACTCATGTGTTGGGAATGTATAATTTTATGTGTGTTACTTGTATAACTCATTGTGTGTGTTTTAATATAGTTATTTGTAGTGTATATATTAGTATTGTAGTGACTCCACAAGTATGTTAGTGTGTAGTGACATGACATGTGTGTTAGTAGTGTAGTGACTCGACATGTGTGTTTGAAGTGTAGCTTATTATATGTGGTATTTTTGTTATATGTTATGGTTGTTGTATATGTAGTACGGCAACTCATGTGTTGGGAAAGTATATTTTAATTTGATGTGTGTTACTGGTATAGCTCATTGTGTGTTTTAATAATTTTTTTTGTAATGTATATTTTATTAGTGTAGTGACTCGACATGTGTGTTAGTAGTGTAGTGACTCGACATGTGTGTTAGTAGTGTAGTGACTCGACATGTGTGTTAGTAGTGTAGCTTATTATGTGTGGTAATTTTGTTATTTGTTATGTGTGTTGTACATGTAGTATGGTGACTCATGTGTTGGGAATGTATTATTATATTCTTGCTCCAAAAGATACTGTTTTACCCTTGTCTGTCTAGCTGTGTGTGTGTCTGTCTGACTGTCCATAACAAATTTTTGGTCACAGTTTTCTCAGCAACTACTCATTGCAGATGCTTGAAATTTTAGCATACTCTTTGTTTAGGCTTGGTGGGAATCATTTTCATACAAATCTGATGTCAACTTCCTGTTTATCCATGTGTCTGTCCATACCACACATAACACATTTTCGTCGCAGTTTTCTAAGCACTACTTATTGCTTGAAATTTTAGCACACTCATTGCTGAGGCATGTCATATGGTGGGATTCATTTTTGTATGAATTTGATGCCAACTTCCTTTTTATCTGTGCGTCTGTCTGTACCATACATAACGAATTTTTTTCGCAGTTTTTTCAGCAATTACTCAGAGCAGATGCTTGAAATTTTAGCACATTCTTTATTTTGGCATGCCATATCGTGGGATTTATTTTTGTACAAGTCTGATGTCAACTTCCTGTTTATCTGTGTGTCTGTCTATACCATATATAACAAATATTTGTTGCAGTTTCTCATCAACTACTTATTGCAGATGCATGAAAGTTTACACACTCTTTGTTTAGGCATGCCATATGATGGGATTCATTTCTGAATTTGATGTCAACTTCCTGTTTAACTGTGCATCTGTCTGTATAATATGGAACAAATTTTTGTCAAAGTTTTCTCAGCAACAACTCATTGCAGATGCTTGAAATTTTAGCACACTCTTTGTTGACGCATAATTGTCATATGGTGGGATTCATTTTTGTATGAATCTGATGTCAACTTCCTGTTTATTCATGCATCTGTCCATAGTTGAACTTGTGAATATACACATGATAGTGTATATTCAAATCACAGCGGAGGTATTACCAGTGAGCATTGGCTCACAGACTTCTTGTTTTATGTGTGTTACTGGTATAGCTCATCATGTGATTTAATGTTGTTATTTGTAATGTATATATTAGAAGTGTAGTGACTCGACATGTGTGTTAATAGTGTAGTGACTCGACATGTGTGTTTGTAGTGTAGCTTTTTATGTGTGGTAATTTTGTTATTTGTTATGTATGTTGTACATTTAGTATGTTGACTCATTACGTGTTGGGAATATGTGATTTTATGTGTGTTATTGGTAAAGCTCCTCATGTGTTCTTATATTGTTATTTGTAATATACAGTGAAACTTGTCTTATTCGGATGTTGTGTACTCCAAAAACTTGACTTATACAATGTTAACTTTAAGTCACCTGCAGTAGACTCAATTGTTTTAAATGTTGTCTAATCCGGAATGTCGTCTAATCCAGCGAATTTCTCGACATGTGTGTAAGTAGTGTAGTGACTCGACATGTGTGTAAGTAGTGTAGTGACTCGACATGTGTGTTATGAGTGTAGCTTATGATGTGTGGTAATTTTGTTATTTGTTATGTGAGTTGTACATGTAGTATGGTGACTGGTGTGTCGGGATTGTATAATATTAAATGTGTTACTTGTATAACTCATTGCGCGATTTAAAACTGTTATTTGTAAGGTATATATTAGAAGTGTAGTGACTCGATATGTGTGTAAGTAGTGTAGTGACTCAACATGTGTGTAAGTAGTGTAGTGACTCGGCATGTGTTTTATGAGTGTAGCTTACGCAGGTGAGTTAAGGCTAGGTATAGGCATTTCTATTGAAATAAACTAATTCAAGTGCCTAAGAACTATATCTATTTTACAGAGAAAGTTAAAACTTATTGTCTAATTCATACTTGGTACCCACGACATGAGATAGCCAGTACACATTATGACGTCATATTATGACGTCATTGTTCTTTACTGCACAAGATTATAATGGACTTCAACAAAAATGCTTCGGCGCAAGGGCATGCTGTATTTTATTTAACTGAAACAAGGTATATTTTGAAGCAAAATATTCCAAAGATTGTTGGTATTGCTGCACAAATATCAACAGCTCAGTTGTATAATTTCTATTTGTAAAGTTTTAAGTTGAATCAGGGTGAAAATACACAGTCCGGTATAAGTTTCCTCAAATTCCAATCAAATGAGAAAATGCCTAGGATTTGTGCAGCAGTTTTATTAATCTATAGAATATTCTTCTTAGCATTATACAATTTTTATGTAAAAATAAATAGGGTAATCCCTTGCGCCGAAGCTGTTTTGTTGATGCGTTTTATTGCCTCCAGTAGGTAAGAACAATGACGTCATAATATATACTGGCTATAACATATCGCGGGTACTAAGTATGCATAAGAAAATAAATCAAAACTTTCTCGGAATAATAGATATACCTCTTATGCATTTTTATTAGCTCATTTGCATAGAAACGCCTATACCTAGCCTTAACTCACATGCGTATGATGTATGGTAATTTTGTTATTTGTTATGTGAGTTGTACATGTAGTATGGTGACTGGTGTGTCGGGATTGTATAATTTTAAATGTGTTACTTGTATAACTCATCGTGCGATTTAAAACTGTTATTTGTAAGTTATATATTAGAAGTGTAGTGACTCGACATGTGTGTAAGTAGTGTAGTGACTCGACATGTGTGTTAGTAGTGTAGTGAATCAACATGTGTGTTAGTAGTGTAGCTTATTATGTGAGGTTATTTTGTTATTTGTTATGTGAGTCGTACATGTAGTATGGTGACTCATGTGTTGGGAATGTATAATATTATGTGTGTTACTTGTATTGCTCATCGTGTGATTTAAAATTGTTATTTGTAAGGTATATATCAGTAGTGTAGTGACTCAACATGTGTGTAAGTAGTGTAGTGTCTTGACATGTGTGTAAGTAGTGTAGTTACTTGACATGTGTGTTAGTTCTGTAGTGACTCGACATGTGTGTTAGTAGTGTAGCTTATTATGAGTGGTACTTTTGTTATTTGTTATGTGAGTTGTACATGTAGTATGGTGACTCATTTGTTGGGAATGTATAATTTTATGTGTGTTACTGGTATAGCTCATTGTAAGTTTTAATATTGTTACATGTATTTGTAATACTTATTTTGTATTGTTATTTTGATTTGTTTGTTGTACATGTAGCATGGGATTCATTTTGTGTTGGGAATGTAGAATTTTACCTGCGGTAGTGTACATGTAGCTCATTTTGTGTGCTAATATTGTTATTTTTATGTGTAATAGTCATGTAGTGACTCAATATGTGTGTAAGTAGTGTAGCTCATTATGTGTTTTCATGTTGAGTTAGTTTAGAAGAGTGTTGACTTACTGTGTAAGTTAGAGTAGCCTCTTGCTATGTGTGAGCATAATATAAAAAGACACTTTTTTATGATGTGTATATAATTATTAAAACATTGCTAAATATAATATTATATCAACCTCTATTGATAAACTTGCATGTGTTTGAATTTCTAATGTAATGTAAGCTACATGAATAGATCATATTTTGACTGAATTTTGAATGAGCACAATTTGTGATGATTTTTATTTTTGAAATAAACAGAAATTTAATTTTCTTTGTATATGTTTATTTTTTCGTTAGATTGCAGAATAAAACTACATAACTTTTGCAGTATTAAATATCTAGAAATGCTTTTTATGACCAGAATGGTGGATACTTATACAGTTAAAATATACCACTGAGGGAGTTAGCAAGATTCCAGTTCCCCAAGGCCAAGACTATTTCCCGAGGCGAAGCCGAGGGAAATAGTCCTGGTCGAGAGGAACTGAAATCTTGCTAACTCCCGCAATGATATACTTTTAACTGTTTTATTATACTGATAAAAACTTAAAATTTAGAGTTAGAGGATTCAGATAGCATGATTTCATAGCAGGGATTAGCTCACTAACTAACTAACACACGGGGATTAGTCCATTCACATATCATACCAATGTAAAAGTAAAATCTAGAGGATTACGGATAACCGGGAATTAGCTTTCGAAGCAGGGATTAGCTCACTTGACTAACGCACGGGGACTAATCCATTCATTACGATTTCTAGGGAATTAGTCACATCTAACGATCTAATGTTCTATAGGGAAAAAATCAGTAGAGATATGATAAAACTATATAACATGTTATTCTGCTTGGGAGAACAAGTTAAGGGGAAGATCAAATTGGGTAAGAATTATAGACCAATGCAAACTGATGTACAATGTATATAAAAGCAGATAAATGTTTGTCGGTGGTATGCTGTAAATTTTAAATGATAAAAGCTTGACTTCAACTGTAGGAAATTCTCGAATGGGACAAAAATACACACAATCAATCAATCAGCTGTAGGAAATATCCCTACTAAAATATCATGGTAAAGTTAGATCAAAATAACGATAGTGGTTTTATAATGCACATTATTGTGAAACCTAAAAGACATCTTAAAAGAAACGGGGCGTATAAGGCGGGGACAATCACCCGCTCTGAGATAATAAATTTCTCAATCTTTAAAGTTCATGGAAAAGTTATATTTTTCTAAAATAAAGTTTTCAGGAATGGCATTTTCAACATATTTGACTCATTTATTTTATTAAATGGCATTGGTTGATGATTTGTTTTAAAGTTGTAAGTAAAGCATATTTAGTGGAAAACTGGTTTTTTGGAGCCACACAAAATGATTTTTGAAAATGAATGGGACAAGTTCCCTTTCTACATTAACCTTTAAATGACCGAAAAGTAAATGTAAAATTAACTTAAAGTTTTAAAAAATGGAGTCTGAGCCCATTCCATTTGAAAATCGAACATTATAGAAAAAAATACGCTTCAACAACCTCTTTTATTTTAATCACACTGAAACACATCAATGACAAGAAGACTTCGTGGCGAAAAATAAATTATTTATCAATAAATTATTCAGTAAAATAAAGGAAGCTAATGTGTAAAAGATGATATTGACAATACATTTTTTTTTTTTTGAAAAATGTAACTTTTCAAGAACTTTCAAAATTGAGAATCGTGTTTTTTCAGGCTGGGAGATTGTCCTCGCTCTGTACCAGGGACCTTTACAGCGAATATAGGTTTTAAAACATATCATATATAATGTATCCATTTAATAATTGAAAGGGGATTATGCTTTAGAGGTTATTGACTCACACAGCACAGATTCTATAATTGGTCTTCCAAATTGAACATAGATTACCCTCTCCCCCCAAATAAGGAATAGAACAGGAAGTCACAGTCACGGTCTAGCCTTGATATTAAACTGGGAAATACTACGATCTGCATGAAGCATGCAGTATCGAAGGGGTACAGGGATGCCCCCTAGTGTTTTTTTATTCTCCCGAGAAAATAACTGTTGTTAATGTACATAGGAAATTTTAATATAAGGCGTTTTGTCATTTTTTCTTCCTTTTTGCTGCTTAAAAATCGATTTTTAACGCGGGAGGGGGGGGGGGGTGGGACTCCAAAACAGTTTGACAAGCAGGAAAAAAACCTAAACCTATTGTCTAAACTCGAAAATCTTTTCTACATTCGGGCCACAAAAAAGAGAGAGAAACCCCAACCATTTGAACATGGGTAGGAAAACGAGATTATATATATATTTTTTTCTTTTTGTCCTTGGTCTTCTTTTTGGATATCACCAATCCTTCACTTTGAAGCGGTGTTCCACGTTTTCGCATATTGATAATATCTTTCCGCAAAAAATGAGTCACAATTTCTCGAATATTTTTTTTTAATTACGATTCCGCATAAAAAAGGGGGAAAATGTATTACGATTCCGCAAATACATGTATGTTATCTGGATCACTGGTACATAGATAAAATAAAAATTACACAACAGATTAAGATACAAACAGGAGTAGCTGAATAGATTGCTCCCATGCATGTAGTTGTTTTTTTTCTTAAATTTCATTAGAACGCCCTTCTTGTCTCTCTGAGCTGAGTCGAGTTTACTACCAATTGGTCGAACTGGATTTTAAAAAAAAATCACGGAAATAAGTTTACGGAGGGCTTCTGAAATAATACACACCGATCGATGCCTTAACTACATGTAGCACATGTATAATTCTTGTATGACTTTTTAAATAACTTTAAATAACTTAATAAGTCATACCAGATTATGTTCAGTTTGAGACTAAATGAAAAATTGTTACAATTTTCTTAATTCAATTGCAATGCATGTTTCTAACACCGACTATACTACTACGTATAGAACCATGTAAAAATAAAGTGGGTCAATTCTCTTCACTTTGTTGGACTTTCATTTAAATGTACATGTAATTATAAATATATTTCGTGAGGGACTTAAAGGTGGAGTAAGGGTGAGATTAAACACTTTTACCAACAAGCAGTTTTCCTTCACATGCATATATTTCCTGAAATGGGGTGTGTATCGAAATTCATAATTTTGTTTCTTTATTAACTCTGAATAAGATGGAAGGCTTCAAAGACCCCTGACCGTCCTGCATGTTTCGATATTGAGAAAATAAAAAGCTATTTATAAAACGAGCATTAAAGTGTAAAGAATAAAACAAGAGATTACAATTAAATTTGTCCACGGCTCTCCGAAAGGTTCCGGATTTTTTTTTACTATTAGGTAGGGTCATAAGTATGTTTTAGGCGCAATCTTAAGACCTGCCTAGGTACTACTTAAATTTGTCTTAAACCGTAACATAAAATGAACTTAGCTAGGTCTTAGCTAAGTCAAACTTACGTTCGAAATATTTTATGAATCATCATAATTTTCATATTTATTTATATATATACATGTATTTCTAAAAAATGATTTAGTTGCGTTTTTAATTACACATAGATTAAAGTTGACGTCCTTACCTATCGGTTTTAGCTAGGTTAGATTAGATTTCGTATTAAAAATATTCTGTTTAAAATTAGTCTGAATATTTGAAAATAAATATTGCACGGACACAAAATAGTGGTTCACTGTAAATGCATGAATATTGTTTATCACTAGAGACTGCAATGTTTGTCGTTATTCTTTTGTTTTGACAAAGGTTCACTTGCTTTCAAATTGTCACTTTCGCAGACATTGCACGATAACCGAACGTCTATGTACTTGAAATTGAAACTCTTAATAAAACAATAGGGACATATTAAATTCTTTTTACTCCGATGAATCAGCCCATATCAGCAGGCAAAGACTGCAGACGTTTTATGATATACTTATTTACAATTCTAATCAAGGATGGAAAAGAAGATAATTTTTCGTATACCTCCTACATCTCTCTCTCTCTCTCTCTCTCTTATATTAGTGAACTCTGTCTGAATCCACGCTTGTTGCATTCTACGTTTAATCTTATTTAAGCAGACACTCTTTATTAGTTTTCTAGTAAGCACCCTTTAATTCAACGACAATTTTTCTGTGTTTTTTTTTTATATAAATCTATATCATCTCATTTTTGAATATAAAAATCCATGATTACTGTGTACAATTAACTTATAATGCTTAGTGTTTATAACCTAGGTCCCACTAACATTCAATCGTATCCCAAAAATAAAATTTTGCATTTACATGAATGTCATTTAGAGAGTAAAATTGGAATCAGTGATCAATATCACCCCCCTCCCCCTTCCCCCGACGAAAAAATAAAATTCTTATATATACTAATATTAAATAGAGAAAATTATTTTCTTTAATGTATACTATGATTAGATGAATGTTTTGACGTCGAAAGTCAACCTTTGAATAGTTCTAAATATGTGTTTAAAGAAGTTAAAACATGCTTAAGTCACCTCTACCGACTGCCTAAGTTTTGCTAAGATTGTCAAATCTTAGCACGCTTCTAGTTATGGTCTTAAGTTTTAAGACTGTACTTAAGTCCTACTTTAGCATGGTCTTGGACTTAAGTACATTTATGTCACGACCCCCTGAACCGTAATCATGCTGAAAAATTCATTTAATCAAAACAGATTATGGGCAGAGCAAAAATAGACCCCTGAAAACAGATCAGGTGCCATGGAGGAGTAAGCAACCCCTACCGATTGACCGGTGTTGCATATTATTTGTTCCGCCTCGTTTAAAGATCGGGGGGGGGGGGGGGGGGCTAATACGATAACTTTTTAAAGAAAAGGTCCAGCGCGTATAAGAAAAGGTCTGCTTACATTTAAAGGTCCAGGTAGTGCAAAATGCTACTTGCATAAACCTTGACAATCACATAAATTTTCAGAGAATGGGTTTATATCATTTGAAAAAGAATTGTTTACCCTTGTCGTTCAATATGATCTCTAAGGCAAGACTTGCTATTCCCTGTTCAGCTGCTTTGAGTTGTGCTGCTTATGCCCCAAAAATAAATGTAAAAAGTGTCACATTTATGGTGCTATTGTTTGTTGTTTTGTTTTGTTTTTTTACCAGCGTTTGCTTCGATTAAAGGTGTTAAATCTGCCTGTGTGTTCAGGTAATAAAACAAGGGGGGGGGGGGGCGGTGAAGTTATCATACCTCTACCTGCAGGTAGGTAGCAATGGCAATGTAATGACCATGTATTTGCCTTATATCAATTGCTCTGAATTCTTTATTTTAATAATTTATGCCAAGGAACAAATTATAGTACTATTATGATATTCAT